CTGCTCCCAGCAGCCCTCAGTCAGAGCAAGAAGCAGCCAGGTAAGTTGCAGAGCCCCCCCCCCCATCCCCCTGGTCCAAAACAGTCCAGTGGCACCTTTAAGACCAAGTTTTATTCAGGTACAAGCTCTCTCTCCTCTGTGAGGGCAGATCTGCACGTTCCCCCCTCCTCCCCAATAGCTAGCAATCCAAAACAGTCCAGTGGAGCCTGAGCGGTGGGTGTTGCCTTCTGACACACTTCCGGTGATGTCAGGGGGTGTTATAAAAATGTGTGAGCCGGAGGCTAGAAAACTGTGAGCTAGCTCACACTAACTCAGCTTAGAGGGAACACTGCCTGTGATGCAACCTTACTCTAGGCAGTGCCTTGATCCTCAGTGCCATCCTAAGGAGAAGAAAAGTCCAGGAGCACCTTAAAGACTAACACAATTTGTGGCAGGGGAGGAGCTTTCGTGAGTCACGGCTCACTTCTTCAGATACAGCTAGGATCTGAAGGAGGTTTACTCAGACTCCTACTCAAGTCAATTTAGTGGAGCTTACTCCCCAGAGTAAGTGGTGGCTCAAGTGGTTAAGACGCTGAACTGCGGGCTGTGGAAGGTTGGTAGTTCAGCAGTTCGAGACCCGAGTATGCCGCATGACGGAGTGAGCTCCCGTCTCTAGTTCCAGCTCCTGCCAACCTAGCAGTTCGAAAGCAAGAAATTGCAAGTAGATAAATAGGTACCACTTCGGTGGGAAGGTAACAGCGTTCCGTGTGCCTTGGTGTTTAGTCATGCCGGCCACATGACCACGGAAATGTCTTCGGACAGCGCTGGCTCTTTGGCTTTGAAACAGAGATGAGCACCGCAACCCTAGAGTCGGATTCAACTAGCTTTCGAGCAAGGGAACCTTTACCTTACTCCCCATAAAGTGTGTTCAGGATTGGCCTGTTAGCCACGTTGCTAAATGTTTTACTTATGCGCTATGCATTTTATCTTCTGTGATAGACTTTGGCTGGTGCAGTTGCTAAATTCTGAATCTTGAGAACAAAACGGTGCGTGTGCCCCCAGAAGTGGGCATTTTTTTCGAAATATACGTCTTGGCATGGGGATATCAATCATAAATCATTTCTTAAATCTGTGCGGCTTAGAAGAGAAGAGAGAAAGAGCAATACACACAAATAATCCTGTCCTTATGGTTTAAATCTTTTCTCCTAAATCCTACCCAAGTACATGGGGAATAATAGGATAGAAGAAAAGGATTCTGGACAAATCCCAAAGCAGCAACAGAGATTAAAACGTTTGCCTCCTTTTTATGACTGCTACATCTGTAGGTTTTTAAATAAGGGTTTAAAAACAAAGAAACAAAAAAGGCTGAAATGCAATTTCAAATAAAGCTGGTGAAACAAAAACGTTCAGAATCGAAACACAGATGATTACTGCTGTTTTTATGCCAGGATTTTATTATTTTGGCTTTTTTAAATTGCAGTTAGGGGGAGTATTATGCCCGCAAACATAGGTTAAGTGCTATCAAGTCACAACCGACTTATGGTGACCTCCAGCAAGGGGCTTTCAGGGCAAGTGAGAAGCAGAGGTGGTTTTCCATGGCCTTCCTCCGCAGAGCCTTCCTGGGTGGTCTCCCATCCAAGTAGCAACCCAGTTTGGTGTAGTGGTTAAGAGCACAGAGAAGAAGAAGAAGAGGAGGAGATTGGATTTATACCCCACCCTTCACTACCCAAAGGTGTCTCAGAGCGGCTTACAAACTCCT